AATAATGCAACCAGCATGGGCTCCGGGGATAGCCCCTGGAAGCTAAGGCCACTGTGGAAGCCTAGTCCTTTCAGCGCCTGTGGCCTGGCTGTGTCTGCACATGCCCCGGCCTCTGCCTGACTGAGCTGCTGTCTGGACAAGGATTCTCGGCCACTCTGTGTGTGCTGTGAGAACTTGCTCAGTCGTCAGAGCACGTAGTGTATATTTAAAACTTTGCTTGGCCTTCTAGACAAGTTCATCTGAGGAGTCTGATGAAATGCCGGTGCCAGATTCTGAGAGTGTCTTCATTATCCCTGGAAGTGTGCTCCTGTGGAGGATAGCCCCACGGCCTCCCAACTCCGCTCAGGTGAGCCCTGGGCTCTATGTATAGTAACTGTTTGATAGCCAGCTTCCACGGTCTCTTCCTCAGTAGCCTAAGTCCTTTTAATTGTCTCATGCTGCCAGCCATATGTCACATCCTCTCCCTAACCAGAGGGCACTCTGTCAAACTAGTAGGTGTGCTTGATGGAACTTCCCTGGGAGTCTCTTTAACAGATGTGGGGGTAACACAAGCCCTTGCTAAACAGACTGACACACTTGGCCAGCAGAGACCCTCTAGCTCCAGCAGGACATGATTTTAATGAAGGAAACGGAATGGATGTGGGTATGCTACTCTGTGAGGTCTGCTAAGAGCTGACTTGTCCACAGGATGGTACCGATGTAGGTGGAGGCCTTTAGCCGTGTCCTCTGACTTTGGCCAAGAGAGGCGTCACTACCAGATTAGATGCCTTCTTTCAGGGCTTTCTGCTTGGATTCGGTAGGTGTTAACTCGATTGTTGCTTTTGTTTCAGATGTATAATTTTACCAGCTTTGCAATGGTTTTGAATGAAGTAGACAAGGAGATGGAGAGTGTAATTCCAAAGACTGACTGTAGGCTGCGGCCTGACATCAGAGCCATGGAGAACGGAGAGATCGGTGAGGGTTGTGCTCTCAGGGCAGAGGGAGCTTCTGGTGGTATCATTCCTGATCTTTGTTAGCATCCTTGCAGTACTCAAGAGTTTTAGCCTTAGAGACTTTTATGTTAAAATTAGCAATTTTGGCTTTAAGTTTGAAAATCTGAGATCGGCCTTACTTAAGCTCAAACTCATTGCTTGAATGGTGTTCCATATGGAGTACATGTGACCAGAAAAGAGCCAGTCAGAGGACACTCAGCAACTTTAAACTGTAGTCTCCAACCTTCATTGTATATTTCACAGTATGTACAAAAACCTTGTGAGCCTCCCAAGAGTATGGCTTCCTCTGCAGGACACATTTAATCTTAAGTGTGAAACTCCCCTCTGGGAAATGGCTCCCTACTGAGGTAGTGCTTCAGCCTGCTCTTACCATCACAGGAAGCCTTGGCCACACAGACATCTCTTCAGTGTGTAGTGGTGTCAGGGTTCTCACTGGGACTGGCTTTCTACACAACAAAGGCATTTTGTAAAGTTGTTTGAATTACTTAGGATGGAATTAAGGAAATCTCAGGTCTCACTCAATTTTCAGTACTCTCACTTTTATTCTGTTTTTATCTGTGGCCTTAACAATAAGCATGTTGTTTTGGTTAAAGCTGAGGCTGCTGGATGGTGTTTGATTTGACCAAAGTACATTATATGTGTGTATGAAAGTCTTACAGTGAAAAGCAAACAAACAAAAAACCAAAACAACAAAAAAAGCAAAATGACATGACAGATGCCAACTCTCCCTGTGATTAGTCTAAAGAGTGTTCATTTTCTGTAATTAACTTAGTTGGTTCTGGAGGTTGCTCCTATGGCTTGATACATTCTAGGTAAATACACTACTACTGGGATATATCTCTAGCTCTCTATTTTACTTTTTGAGAAAGGGTTTTACTAAGTTGCCCAAGCTGGTCTTGATCCTCCTGCCTCAGTTTCTAAATATCTAAGATTCCAGCAGACATGTGCCCCAATCTGTGCTAGTGGTCATCAGGATTGGTTTTTTTGTTGTTGTTTACTTTGTTTGCTTGTTTGTTTTTGTTTTGTTTTTTTGAGACAGGGTTTCTCTGTATTCTTTTGGAGGCTGTTCTGGAACTCTCTCTCTGTGGACTAGACTGTCCTTGAACTCACAGAGGCCGGCCTGCCTCTGCCTCCCGAGTGCTGGGATTGAAGGCGTGCGTCACTACCGCCCGGCTTGGGCATCAATTGTATGTTGACTGTAGTGCTGTATGGTGCAGGCCCACATGGACAGTGCTGTCTGTAGTCACTGTTGTTAGTGCCATGCCTGGCATTCCCAGCATAACATGCTTTTTGTTGGCCTCATTTTAGATCAAGCTAGTGAAGAAAAAAAACGACTTGAGGAAAAACAAAGAGCCGCCCGCAAAAACAGGTCCAAGTCAGAAGAGGACTGGAAGACAAGGTGTGTGACCTCTAAGTGTGGTTTAGCCATCTAGGGCTGCTGTGTGAATGACAGAGATGCCAGACACCGTGAACCACAGGGCAAGGGTCCATATCCCTGGTGATCTGCTCCAGGCCTCAGAGGACACTATTTCCAGATTACAGTAGCTAGTGTTAAAACCAAGAGTTGTGTTTGTAATGAGAGAAATGACTTGAGAAGTTAGTTATGTTTTACACAGTGATTGCAGGTAACATTAGTCAAGCATTTTATCTTTTCTCCTTTTCCAATATTCCTTCAGTATTGGAAAGGGAAGTACAATCCAGAGTTAGATTTGGACACGAAAATACATTTATTTGTTCACATCTTTGAGTAAATTACAGGATCATCCATGTGTGCACGTATCATGGACCATTAATTTAGGTAGTGCCTTTTCTAAACACAAGGTTAGACATGATAGAATTGGGACTTAAAAAAAAATAGTATGTTGGGCAATATCAAATGTCTGACTTTTGACTGGAATAAGTTAACTTTAGTAGTCACGTGTTTTGTTAGAGTTCTTTGTAACTGCTGCTCCTTGACACATTTAAGTAAATGTTAAAGCCAGCATGAGCATAATTTTGCAAGCATTCCAGTAGACATGATAGCCATTTCACGTCTTACAAAAAGATCTAGAAATGCTCTTACAGCATCTACCTCAATAAGTGTTTTGGGTTTTATTCACATAATAGCTCTTGCCAAAGAATGAGTAAAGTGCAGACTTGGCAACTCCTCGCCTTCCTTTCCGGTGTGTAGCCCCTGTCTCTAAATCTGAAATACAGTGTAAAAGCTGCTTCCAGACACTGGATGCTGCAGTGTCCTGCTGTGCCTGGCTTGGGGGCTCCATTTTTTGAGAGGCAGGGAAATCATTCAGGCAGCTCATTTGGTAATTAGGGCAGATTAAAATGAAAGCAGATGTCGCCTAGGAGTCCACATCGAGACCCCGTAAAGTCTGGACTGGGCTAACCTCACTGGGTATACATGGCATAGCAGATGAGGAATAGATGAGGGATCCATAGCCTCTGGGTGCGCACCTGCCTGCGGCCATTGCTAGTTTGGCCAACAGACTGACAGTCAGCTCTCCTGTAAAATGGAGGTCATATGCACCCCACAGGCGTGGGACATCCTGCCTGCTGCAGGTATGTGTTCCTGTCTGCTAATTCTCATTCCTGATGGCATCATAGAATGCCTCCTCATGGGTGGTCACAGGTAAGACAGATCACAGTACTCACTGTTAACTGCTATAGATAGTAACTACTTTAGCCTGAAGATGTGTGGATACATATTCTCTGATTGGAAAAACTATCACTTTAGGGTCTCTAAGGAAATCCATGACACAGAGAACCAACTACTTTAAGTGGTTAAATGACAGTGTCCTGTGTGTGAGGTTTGTCATTTGTTCTCTAAATTTTACCCTTTCTCACTGGACAGGTGGTTCCATCAAGGCCCCAACCCGTACAATGGAGCACAGGACTGGATTTACTCTGGTAGCTACTGGGACAGAAACTACTTCAATCTGCCTGATATTTATTAAAGTGCGGAGAAGTCATGTTGTTTGGCTAATCTACATAAGTCTTAAGCTTAAGTTTCTAAAAGTTTCCTTGGTTTCTACTCCTCTATAATTTGCATTTCACCCAACAAGACAGGGCTTATGGTCATAGTGGTGAAGGCATAGGGAGCATGAGGCATTTTGCTTCGCACTGCTTACCTGGAGTACTGTTTATGCAAAGTAAGAAGCTGTTGGAGGTGCTGTTTCTAGCTCCATGTGCTGGAGGTATATACCTAGTCTAACATTCAGCTTTATGAAATTCTGTAGTGATCCAAAAATCAAGTTATTTTGAATATTTTTATGCTTGAGTATCTTAGGTGTAGCTTTGAAATGTTTAGAATTCTTCTGTACAGTGTTGTGTGCTCTGATGTAAAGGGTGTCATTTTATAAAAACTAAATTGGTAAGATGACCTTTCAGGGAATTTAGTCCTTTCAATGTTACTTTCCCACCTCCAAAAAGGAATGGAGGGCCGAAGCAGAATCGGGAATTCCTGATTTGAAAATTCTAAACTGCAAAAGGTATTTACTTATCTTAGAGCTCTGAGTTTACTGTCATCACTGACACTACAACTTACAGGATTAAATTGTATGTTTGAACTGAAAATCACCACAAAAACGCCCTAGAAATAGATTTTAATCGATATCATTACCTAATGACAAGCCTTTAAGTTTCAACTTCCAGTGGCAAATGCCACAGAAATTAAGCACTCGTGTGTTATACTCTGTAAGAGGTGGCCTTGTGCATTTTGAGTTTGCAAGGTACTGGAGACATACTGGACAGTAGCTTCGCCCCTTTAATTGGGGTAATCTCATAGTATTTATCCAACCAAATCCCAGACTGAGATACTTGCCCTAAAGGGTCTTAGGTAGCTTCCAGTAAGTTATTTTAATTGTATTAAAGTTAACAAGTGTTATAATGATGCTAAATAAAGGCTTTAGAATATTAAAAAAGTGTGAACTATTTCAGAACAGAGTCACTGCCTAGCTGATATTGTGCTGATTAGTTGAACATGTAAGGTAGCTTGCACACCAAAACAGTGCAAAGTTTTATGCTTGCAGGAAGTTTATTGATACAGTGCACATGGTGACAGACTCCACCTCGAATGCTGACTCAGCATCATTTCAGCATCTGTTAATGAAGAGACATTGAACTGTTTAAATACCATGAAACAGTGGAACTGATCTACCGTCCTCCTCTTACTAAGCTCTTTGCTAATCAAAGATGCCCCAGCAGTTCCTTGACATTACAAGGTTGCCATGATTAAGTTAATTGAAATACCACCCCCTCCCAGCCCCCCAAACCACAATGGCTTAACTCTGCTAAGAATCCATAGCTTTCCTTAGTCACATGCCTGGAGCACTTTCCAAACAGTGCTTGTCTCCTCCACTCAGCTCTATGTTTTATTCACCCCACTGTCCACACGGAAGGGAGAGGCCTGACATTAAGTCCAATTGAATAAAAAAGGGGATAATTGTCACTAACAGCTCCTCTCTGTTTAACCTTTTAACCTCTTACATGGACATACAGTTAGTGTCTCATCTCTGTTTCTTAAAACTTGATTATTCTCACTGAAAAGAAAAGTTGCATTCTCTTTTTAGACTCTACCGCACCCTCGAAGGTGGCTGGGCATTCATAAGCAGCTCTGCAGTTGGAAGCCAAGAGCATAATGTGAAGTATACCCCATTAGTACCAAGTGTTAACTGTCCCACGTGTCAAGGTAGGAAGGGTACCTACTCTTTTAAGATTCTGCTCTGCGGACATGGGCAGTAGTCACAGTGATTTCACCAGCAATACCATAACTTCCAAAGGGAGTACGTTTGTCACCAGATCCTGAACTCTTTTTAGCTACATCTTCTACTGGGAAAGCGACAGAAAGAAAGACCGGGCTTTGCGGTCTGGGGCCATCTTGTCCACTTGTTGGAGGACTAGCATTCTGGGGATTTGGGGCAGGTCTCTGGAATGTCTGATCTGCAGGAACAGCAATGGGCACTTGTACTGTAGCATATCTCTTCAAGGCATCTGACTGTGACACAACAGCATGTCCAGGAAGAGGTTTCCAATCCTGCGCTTCCTGAACATTTGAGCCTACTAAAATAAAAGGTGGGGCATTGGTCTTCTTGCTGTCATCCATCATCACATAGGTTGGAGAAGTGACTTTCGGTGGATTCTGCAGAAATTGTGGATCCTTAGGATTAGGTAAATAGAGGGTTGCTTGGGGAAAAGGCCCAAGTGCAGGTGGCGGTGATGGGCGACTTTGTTGATTCATATCAGTTAGACAATAAAGTGTCCACATATTAGAATATGGTGGTGGTTGTCCTGCTTCGCTTGTTGCTAGTGCTATAAAAAAAAAATTGCAGGCATTAAAGGTTTGGTCTCTGTATCAGGCACTATGCACAGTCATGTCTTTGTAAATCTCTTTTTTTTAACATATAAATAAGCAACTGTAATAGTATGTGCCATAAAGCATGCTATAGAGAGAACTAAAGAAATTGTGCCTGGTAATGTGAAGGAACAGAGTGATTCAGAACAGTTGGAAAAGGAATTAATTGATAGTAAGGGCAGGCACAGTAGAGTTGCGGCTAAAGAAGCAATTGTATCTAAGTTGCTGTTTCCAGACTCTTACACTGTTTTGGTTCTTTGAAACAATGTATCACTATGAGCCCAGGCTAGTCTTGAACTCTTAGCAGTCCTCCTGCCACAATCTCCCAAGAGCTAGAATTACCACCATGCCTAACCAGAATCTTAGACTTTATATATGGCTTCCACATGGTACTCAGAAGTTAACAAAACTTTCAAAACATCAACCATGTGAAGCCAATTAAAATCATGTAAGACATGCATGCATAGCAGTGTCTCCCCCTAAAGTCACCTACATGTCACCTAATAATATCCCTGGTCTTTTAACAGGCACTGTCATCTCCCATCTTCAATCTATTACCTCATCTAGGAATCAGAATCCCAGAGAGCACTCCTTTTAGCCAAGACTGGGCACCACCATATGTCTCAGAAGATAGCAAAACGCTGGTGGACACTAATATAGAGAGCTAGAAAAGCCATCCATCTGCCTATAGCAGGGGATCTATAGAGTGGAGTGTCACTTGCCAAAGATAGGGACTCAAATGTGTCAAGGTCATGTTTGGAAGCCTAGGCCATCCATTCCTGATGCAGCCTTTCTCCACAGAGAGTTAAACTATGCACAGATGAAGGGATCCTTACTAAAAATACAATCCAAGTCGTCAGTCTTTTCAGATGGGAGAATCTAAATCCTCAAACTGAGTTTTCTTGAGAACTTGTCCACTAAGGACAGCTGTCCTTTAGTAACAGCTAAGCGCCTGAAAACAGTGACTTGGCTTGAAGTGACAGATGCTCAAGCCACAGGATAATGCCGGCCGCACAGGCTCTGCGTAGCACTGCCCTCTACCTTTCCAGCTGCAGTGAACCTGTCACACTGCCAGTCAGAATTTGATTGCTAAATACCTGCTTTGATAATATTTCTGTATAATTTTGGCTTGAGTCAGAGTTGAGAGTTTCTGCAAGAGGATTGGGAGGCTTTGTTCCTGCATGTCCCTTCAGATACCCCAGGAAGGGCCACTGCAATATCCAGATAGGCAGAAGGGTAGGCAGACCAAATGCCAAAATTAGATGGAGAAGGAGGCTAAAATGCTTCTGCTGGCAGGAAAGGCACCTGGAGGAAAAGCTCCCCAGAGAGCAAGCAGCTTGACTTTGGTGTGCCTGGGGCTGAGGGACCAAAGGTCCACGCATGTCAACAGCACACACTGATTTCAAGTGTGCAGCCATTCTTCCCGCCGCTTTCCTGTCACAGAAGTGCCATCTAGCCCGTCCTTTCTCCATCCAGCTGTGGCACTGCTCCCTCAGCCACGGAAGGTCCCGAGTAGGAAGCAGTGTCTGAGCCGGCATCCCAAACCTGATTGCATAATTCTCCTGACTCAGCGCGAAAGCAGTCAGCCACACCACCATTTCTGTCATGTTTTAAATGCCACAGCCCAAATAAATGCAGTGTTCGCCTTACGTTTCCTGATGACCATTTTGTATGCAGGCATTAAAAGCCTAAGAGATGCTTATGTTTACAATTGTGCAAAAGGAAGCAAGCTTTGACGGTGCATCTGGCTTTCATAGCAGTAAATTTTTAAGCTCAACAAAGCCTTTAAGTAGGTTTGGCATTTAAAAAACCTGAAAATGGACTTGGGCCAGTCAGCAGGAGAGCCCAACCTGCATGGTCACTGAATACAGATGTTACCTGAAACATAGCATGTGAATGTGCAAGTATCTAATTTTCTTACCTGGCTTCATCAAACCTGTTCAGGTGCATCTTCCCCATCGGGTTGGATTTCAGGTTCAGTAAAGCCCCCTGACTCCTCCTGGCCAGGATTGTCAGGGTCTATGGTAACGATCTCCATTTCAAGGTGCAGAGAATTCTCAGAGGCTAGTTTGATAAAGCGCTCTGCATCCAGGGGCTCTGCAGGCACCTCAGGCTGACCCTCTAGAGAAGCGTTGGAGAGCAGAACTGTAGCTTCTGCCTCCATATGTACTGAGGGCTGGTGCTGGGAATTCTCCACCTGTACAATTTTCAGAGACTCTATAGATATTTTAGACATGCCTGAGGAAGTCTTGGCGCCTACAGATTTGGGACTAACTGGTGGTGACTGCTCAGTTTCTTTATGACAAGCAACTTGATCAGTAAACGGGATAACTACGTATCCTGGTATCTCCTCAACATAGACAACTCCTTCATTGACAGGCACATCGTTATATACGGATGACACATGAAAGGTTGATGTAACCTTAGTGTCAGGAGCTTCGTCATAAGCAGGAGGTTCTTGTTCACCCTGCAAGGGGGCTGAGGAAGCCTTTGATGGTTCAGCCTTAAACTTAGGACCCACAACTGCCTGCGCAGATGTTTGGCTCATAACCTGCACTGCTAACATCTCTCCAGAGCACACCACAACTTCTTCATCAATCTCTGCACTCAGGGCGTCCTGGGTACTTGTTGCCACGTCCACCATTAAAACTTCAGAATAGATAGATTGAACATTACCTAACATCTGAGCAGCAAACTGAGCTGGGTCAGCCGGGACATAGGCATACTCTGCAGAGACGGATGCGGGGGGTGGTGATGAGGGTGGGGTGGTAGTCTTGGGTGTGGTTGGTTTGGAAGAAGGACCACACACTCCTTCACTTGTCTCCTCAGGCTGGATTTCAGCATGAACTGATGGAAACTGGGTGGTTTTGTTGCTAAATATTGGTCCAGCTACATTGTCCTCCTCCGTGTCTGTGGATTTTTCCATCCGTGTAGGTTCGCAGGAAACTGGAAGTGTTTTTCCTGGTTCCTTTACATGTTCCTTCTTCTCCACTGTCGCTCCTTCTGCCCATTTCTCTACTAAAAGTAACAGCCAGGTGAATTAATCAGCAAGCACTCCTCAAAATGTTTTAAATAAAGCAACAGTAGCTTGAACTTTCAAATACTAATATATACAGATCTCTGTGCAACATCTATAAATTAACTAGCTAATGAACCTGCAACAGCTCATATCCACTTAAACAATTCATTTCCTTAGAAATAAATGACCAGCATATATTACAGTGTAAAGCTAGTATACCTCTCTAAGCTGATAGTCAGTTCCTAAGAGGAAGAAAGTTGGAGCCCTCCTGGTCCACTGTCCCACCAAAAAAAAAAAAAAAAAAAGGACACTGAGGAATTGACCCAGTAGATACAGTTCTTCTTTTGACCTGGCCATGTGGGTACAATGACTGGAGTGTCACCTGAAATCCCAGCCCTAGGGAAGTAGGGAGGTACAGGCAATACTGAGAGTGACTTAGCTAGCAAGAGTTGGCAAGCCCTGGCTTCAGTGAGTGATTCTACCTCAATAAATAGTTGTTTGAGCAGTGTCAATTTTGGGCCACCATGAATACCCATGTTCACACATGCAAACATGCACACACAAAACCACAAAACATGAACAAAGGAAAAACTAAAGACTAATGAGGGAAGCAAATGATTCCAATTTCAATTAGCATGGTAGCTTAGGAAACACAGAGATGCATCTCTCCAAGACTGTCAGTATGCAAAGTGTAACACTGAATTTGTCATCTGAAGCACTGTGGTTTCTCACATTGGGAAATATCATATATTCTAACTTGAAAATGGTCATATTTGCTGGTGAGATGTGCTTATGAAGCCAAAATTATACTGAAAAAAAAGAAAGGAAAAGAAAGAGAAACGCCTATGTCCATGAGTGTAGCCATTGAATGCTTAAGCCTGTAAAAACTCAAGGGAGCTGATGACTGGGTGCCCCGGACGACCCGTTCCGAGGGTCAGCAGCCACACCTGGCCTTGGCTTTCCGTATTCAGTGTTCACACCTGCTCACTGAGGAGTTTCCTCTTTAGAGAGCACGAAGTCAGCAGGGAAAGTGAGAAGTGATTGCTTCGGGTCAGGGGTTTGGAAACCCAGACACAGTGGCACAGGCCTGTGATCTCAGCACTTGGGAGGCTGAGTGCCATGAGTTCAAAGTCAGCTGTAGCTACAGAGCCTTCAGACCCTATTCTCAAAGCCACAGTATTTTCATAGGTTTGTACTAGTGTCTATCCACTCTACTTGCTAGTTTGTAACTTTGGTTCACAGGCCTAATTCTGGATACAAATGGCCACTAAATACTCATATGTGGAGCAAAGCCACAAAAAAAAAAGCTACTCAACATTAATCTCACTTTTCCAACCATCTCTTTATGACTCCCCTGCCTCAGTCCTCCCTGTCTTCCATGCATCTGCTAAAGAAGCGCTCTACCATGCGATATGCCCTTTAACCTATCTTCTCACACCGACACACCTGGCAGCCTGATTCTCTCACATGGAAGACTGGAAGATGACAGTGCACAAAAACACTCACTATGAGATAGTTTAGGCACAAATATGGTAGGTATAAAAACATAAGAACCTGATAATGGCATTATTAAAATGTTAAGAGTTCAGGGCTCAAGAGATGGCTCAGCGGCTAAGAGCACTCACTTCTCTTCAGCAGCCCAAGTTCTGGGCCCAGCATCCAGACTCCAAACTGCCTGTAACTCTAGCTCTGGTGGACCCAACACATTTGGGCACCTTCACTTATACATGCACTCTCTCTCTCTCTCTCTCTCTCTCACACACACACACACACAATTTTAAATGACAATGCATAAAAATCTTTAGCATTCACAAATCCTGAGGTTTATTTGAGTTAAGTCTGACTTAGTAGTTACTCTCATGCTTAGGATACATAGAAAATCAAAGCAATACCACTCCCATCTTGACAAGATCAATCATAAAATCATAACTTTGGTTGAGTCCAGACAGTTGAGGTCATAATGAAGTTATCTGATTTCCATGAAGAACAGTCTCCCTCCACCCCAGAGGTCCACCAGAGCTGACTCAGCCATGGCAGGGTGAAGGTGGGGGTTTAAATGAGTTCACCAGACCCAAGATAAAAGATAAATGGTGTTTTATTGGGGAGCAGCTTACACGGATAAGAGTAAATAACTGCTGCAGTCTTCCTGCTCCAGAAGATGCGGTCTCTGCCCTTCCCCTGCTCTCTGAGACCCAAGAGAGTGTCCTGCTGCTCCTCTCTTTAAAGGAGTCAAGTCTGTACCTGAAACCACACCCAAAAGGGTATGGTCACTACTACAAGTTCACTGGACAAACAAGATGCCACAACAGCAGGGGCCAGAAAGAAAAAGCCACCATTACCTGGGGAGAAAGTAACAGCTACCAAATGTGGCCTAGGACGTCAGTCCTGTGCCTCCAGACTCAGGAAGAGTTTGTAATGACTAATAAGTACTTTTCTGCAGGCCTCAAAGGAATGGTGGAGATGGGATAGAACCTGTCTTAATACCAAACAGTGGTCACTTGGCCCAAGACACATATGATGGCCATGGATAGAACCATAGTCATTCTAAAGACACTAAACTCTGACAAATGGGAAGACGAGAGTAGTGATATTTGGCTCTGATGGACAGTTCTCTTCTATTATCCAACTGTGCATGGCAAAATGATTAACCATTTCTGGTTCTCGACACCCACCAAAAATGGTTTTATTTCTAGGAAAAATCCCAGAAAGACATTCAACAGGCAAATGATACATGCAGAGTATGTTCCTATCCCCATGCTTTCCTTAACACTGGGAACATGAATAAAGCTGCTGGGCAGGCAAACTAACCACTGGACGTAACTGGAGAACAGAACATCCTCACTGACCTGTCAGTCGTCACCAAACACAGGCTCACATCTGATAGGAGTGAGGAACATGAACTAGGGTCTAGCAGCTAGCTCTTGCACGCATACCGACTTCTAATGCCTCGTGCTGGCGAGTGATCAGGCCTCACACTGAAGAGACGGAACAGAATAAGGGTCGACTGACTTAGTCTTCCTAGAATGGTTCATTTTCACAAGTCACTGATAGCCCAAGACGGCTTCTCATCTTTGGGATCAACCAGCAATGGATGTAGAATTATTTGTGGCACCTCTACATTTAAACCTAGGATTCATACAAGATGGGTGAAAGACAAAATGCCAGCTGTTAAACCTATTATTTTTCTTGAAGAAAACTGAACCACCACATGATCAAATTTACTTACAGCTGTCAAAAGAATAGCAGAAAATCTAACCAGTCAGAACACAGGGAGCTATCATTCAGGAGAGAAAATAAACTACTGCATGGGAACCTTATGGCGTCTGTCTATACCCCTCTTCAGCCCAAAGTATTTAAACTTTTCTAGATGTAGATGAATAATTCATGGAGTGTGTATAGGAGCACCCAGAGTGATTGATGCAGTCTGTCTAGTAAGAAGCTATCTGTAGTGACAACATAAGGGAAGACAAATGAGCCAAGGCGATATCAGACAACTGTGTTCTGGCATTCTTTGATAAATGCCGTATGACCTCTCCAGTAATTAGAATGAGCAAGGTTACCACTGTTTTACTTCCTAAAGGGCAATCTGTTTTTTATAGCCATACTGTGTGCTTTATTTTAGGTATGCTATACCTATCTGTTGATATAGTTATTTGAAGAGATAAAAAACATTTCCTTTAAGTCCATCAAAAGTATGGCTGCCCTGCAAATTACTCTGTTAATCCAAATTAATTAAAAAATTTGTGATGCAAAAACATTAACCTTCATATTATTTACCATAATCCACATTTTAGTCCACCTGCTAAAATGAATGTTGGATAAAATCTTCAGTAAATAAAAAAATCTCAAAATACTATTAAGTAGCCGGTTATCTTCCACCATGAAAACTTACTGTCTTGCCATTATAAAACAGGGTGAGCCTGCATGCTCACAGTATTTTCTAATGCAGCTCTTGTTTTGAAGACACAAACACAATAAACTTACTGAGAAACTAGGATCATGGATACAGAAAGCAATTTCCTTGTAGTTGGTTTGTATATGTGGCTAAGAGTATATAAGCAAGTCCCAAAGTTTCTCATGGTTAGGTAACAATGTCATCAGGTGCTTTCAAGGAAGCATTAGACAATGCAGTGTTTCAGAAGCATTGCTCACCTTATTCCCTGCCCCTTCACATGCCTAGTTTTAATCTTGATTTCCTGTTTTGAGGATCTTTCACTGCAGAGTCAAACCATCATGATATTTGCACTTTCCTCCATCTGACTCCCTAATTTTTCATAGCTGTGGTTATCTTTGACTCGAGAAAATGACATGGTTTGAACCATTGAGGCAAAGGTATTGCTAAGTGTGATGACCTGAGTTTGTCCCTAGGACCCACATGAGCAAAGAAGAAAACTGACTCTCAGAAGTTGTCCTCTGACCTAGACATGTGCACCATAGCATGCTCATGCACACAACACACACACAAACTTTAGGGTTGAAAAATGATGGAGGTGCTGAGGAGATGGCTCAGTGATTAAGAGAGCTCATGTTCTTGCAGAGGACCCGGGTTTAGCCGGGTTTAGTCCCCAGCAGCTGCATGGTGCCTCACAGCTGCCTATTAAGTCCCGTTCCAGGGGATCCAGCACCCTCTTCTGGCTTCTGCAGAATGTGACATGTGTATGTGTGTGCATCACTACATATGAACAGAAAAACTCACCCACATAAATCTAAAACAAAACAAAAAAACCTTTTTAAAAAGTGACAGTTGAAGGGTGGCCGGTAACTAACTTCTCTCCAATCATCCAAAAGCTGTTGGTCCACCAATATGGTAAGAACTATTGAGCTGCTTCCCACAGTGGCCAGACATCATTTTACCTCTTCATAAAATTCTGAGAAACTTTAACTCACCATTCTTGTAGATGCATTCTTTAACAAATTGCACCTTCCTAACTTAACAATAATCTAAATGTTTCATTGTATAAATTCTGCCTTTTCTCAGCACTCTTGTTGCTACTCTGTCACATTCAATTTACAAATGAAAAAGTGTTCTGTAAACATCTATATGCTACTGTGTCACAATGCCTGAGACATGGAGGAAACTACTGCTCCAGGAAAAAACATCTACTCAGTCTTTTCAGCAGGTTGTATGACAAAGTAGACTAATCTCTTGTAGATGGACTTCCCGGTAAGAGTGGGTATGTCTTATTTTCTTTTGAACAGGAAATTTTTCTTTGAACCTTCATGACTAAGCCTATATTGAAATATCTCTTGTAACCCACCTGTTCTACTTCATTAAAAAGCATATACATCTTAAGCATTTCTTGTCAGAAATGCCTGAAAGCTGATAGATCAGATTTTGAGGGCTTAAAAAAAAACATTTTAGAATAGCCTACTAGGAGAGAACCTATAATTTGAAAACCAGGAATGTGAAATGCTCTAAGTCAGGACGTTGAGCACCGCATTCATTTTTATTTTGGAGCATTGTATGTAGCTGATGTAACCTGGACAACATTACAAAGCACCTCACTGCAATTTACTATGGAGTGCAAGTCCTCTTACACTCCAATGTCCTTCCCTAAAGGTGTGCACAGTAGAGAGGGTCTGAATCATAGTTTATCTGCACTGGTCTTGACATTCATGAATAGTCATGGTTCCAAGTGGCATCTGGTGGCTCCAGGATTGACCCAAGACTTCACTCATGCTTTGTAAGTGCTCTACTACCAACCTGGATTTTCAGCCCTGAGAAGTCCCCACCACCACACACACAACACACCTCTTCTTAAGATTTAGAGCATTCTCAACCGGAAATCCTGATTTAAAATAAACTCAAACTGACTCAGTAAAAATACAAAGCACCAGTATGATCTCTCACATGTAAGAAACTGGTGTGGTTAACAAAGTATCCCTTGGCAAAATTACAGATGTGGGTCATATGTAATGATGACCCTGTGGAAACGAGCATCTCAGTGGCACTTACCTTTCGTCTGATGGAACTGTTTAATCAGATCTTTTATATCCAGAGATGAATTCCCTGAACGAATAAATGCAGGAAGTCAAATAGAGACATTTTAAAACTTACAACGATTTTACAAAGCAACAAATATAGAATCTAAAGTAATACAAACCTTCTCTAAACACAATGAGTTCTTTAAAATAAACTGCTGCAAACTGGGTGATATTTGTCGGATTGGTTTTGAGAATGGCTCTGCTGACTCCCTCAAGCAGAGTCTTGAGGCCATAGGGTACAACAAGTCTGGGCTTTGAAGAAGTCATTTTGGCAGGATGTCTGTAATTTCAACTATATTGAAGAGAAACAAAATCTTACACTGTAAATTTATTGAATTTTATGAATTAATTTGGGTTCCTAAAACCAAATATTAGAATTATTAGCTATACTCTTATTTAGTCTAGTAGCATGCTCTGCAATTCTTGGTAATAATTTACAAAATAAGCCCCACTGCCATCTGCTTGTCTACTGTGCACAAGCAAGCGATCTAGCATTCATTAGGAAATTGCTAAGTGGACCATGGCAATGGCTCACCAAGTAAAAGTGCATTCCCACAGACCTGAAGACCCGAGTTTAATTCCTCAACCATACAGTAGCAGAATAGAACTCTAGAGATTGGTCATTTAACCTCCACAGATGGCATGCATGCACGCACACACACACACACACACACACACACACACACACACACACACACACACACATTAAATCAATAGGAAACGCCCTGCCAGGATTGCCAGAATACTTTACTACAATTTCAGGCCTAAATAAAACACATAAATCCTATTTCAATAAAAACAAACTAAGCACATGTATTTCCAAATAATGTCCATATGTAGGGACTAATTTTGTACAGTACAAAAAAAATGACATTTTATTCTAAATCTATCCCTAGACACGTGTCCTACATTCCAGTAGACAAGTTGTGTTGTTTTTTGTTGTTGTTGTTTTGTTTTGTTTTCTTCTTTGGCATTAGGACTTGAACCCAGGGCCTTACATAATACTAGGCCATAACTACTACTTTTTAATGTTAGATTTATCTGTGGTTCTATACCCATACCCATAATGTATAGTACTTTCTTTAGTCAAACTATTTCTTACTTTCTTCCCATTGCCCCCCTTTTCTCCTATCTTGCTAACATGCCCCTCCCCCTTAGACTAGGCTAGCCTGGAACTCTCTCTGTAGACTAGGGGCTGGCCTCAAACTAGAGATCCACCTGCCACTGCCTCCTGAGTGTTGGGATTAATGGTTTGGGCTACCATATCCATCCCTTTGCTGACTTTCAAGTGGCACCCTGAGTATTATATAATCTATAGAGTTGTTCCAACCTTTGTCATTGGGTTATGTTACATATAAACATGTTGGGTTGCACTTATAGCTATTATGGGATACAGGCTGAAAGTTGGACACATCTAGACCTATAATTCTCATGAGGTTAAAGTTTGTGTCAGCCCTAAATTGTGTGTTCACTCTGAAACATGAAAGCTTTCAAATAAGTAAAAAACTGAATCTTTTTAGCAAGGGAAAGATTACAGTGCTGCCAACTGTATTAAATTGGGTCCTGAGTTACCAAGGAGCCACCAAATAGGAAAGAGGTGCTTAAAAGATTCCGACTTTAATGTATTTTAAATATCGGTTGCTTAGGGGAAATCACAGCTGTTCTAGAGACACAGCTACTTTAAGAGTGCTTCTCAGGGGTACTTAGAAAGAGTAGACTACTATGACAATCATATCCTAACAGCCTTACCTGTTTCATGGGACTAAGTGGCATGCTTTAGTTATAGCAATTATATCGAGGGCCAACTTTTAATAAAAACGCAATATGCCACAGCAAAATGTTTTTATTTAAAGGCACCTTTCACGTTCTTACCAAAGGCTAGGCAAAAGTACATTTTGAGCCAAGTGAAACTTTTGAGACTACAATGTTTAATCCCTTGTTCACCGGGTGCATTACTGAATTAAGCCATCTTTTGGGGGAAATGCAGCTTTATCACACCCACACGTTAAAATGGCAGTGATCTCCAACACATAAGCATACACGAACATACATATGTATATATGTTTTTTGGTTTTGTTTTCAAATAAGCACCCCAGGGGAAGGTTTCAAAGTGACCAGCAGGCAAAATGGAGCAGGCACAGCACCCTCTCCTTAGGTAATTAGTGCTACCAACTGAGCAGCAGCGTGGGATGGCGCTAAGCAGGTCTCAGTTTAGAGACCCTGGAAAGCCAGGGGTGCTGACTGTCCCTAAGAAAGTTCTTGACTGTGAAAAGGCCCTGGCAGTAAGTAGCGATGTGGCACCAGATCTGTCACCAACCCAGCTGACGGCGGGCTTTTCACTGGTGATAGCTTAGTTGCTCTTAATCTTTCAAGAACCCTTGGCAAGAGTGACCTTTCTAGAAAGGCGCATCCTCTGACACGCCCCAGGTGGGACGCAGCGGCTCTTTGTCCGCGGACACTAGCGGGGATTTCGGGGCCATCGAGACTCCCGCCCGACCACCGTCACCCCTCGGAGCGGTCTCCAGCCGCTCTCGGCCCGCTGCTTTCCCGGGCTCAGCCGGCGCCGGTCCGCCAGGCCAGGCCAGGCCCACCTTCTTTCCGGCTTCAATAAAGCTTCCTCTTTGCCCCCTCGCCGGCGGCTCCTGTGCGAGAAACCGCAGCCCGCCCTCTATTTATACCCCTGCGTGCGTCATGCGTGCGTCACAGAGTCCCGCCCCTGGTTGGGCCCACCGGAAGAGGCAGGGATTCGACCGACGCAGCCAATGAGAACTCGGAGGACAAAGGCGGAGGTTGTAAGGAGCCAGAGAAGGGAGCTTTTGTCTTTTGACCCTCCTGCCATGGCAACTGACATTTTTTAACGCCAGGCCTGCGGCTCCATGTTTGCTCACTGGATCAGTGGCTGAGGATGCAGGTCAGCTGGCAGAGCTTGCCTGACATTCTCCAGGCCCTGCACTCAGTCCCCAGCACCTCAGGAGACAGAGATGCTCGCCTGTAATCCCAGCCCTAGGAGGTCGAGGCAGCAGCGCGATTTCCAGTCAGCCTGTAATACAAGACACCCTGTCTCAAAGAAACAAAAACAACAAACACTGATGTACAGGAAAGAAACTACTGTCTTGACGTTGCCGCCTCCTCTCCCTGAACTTCCTTTGTATTAATCCTCTGACATCTTCACCAAGTTCTGCCACGCAATACAATACAGAGGGAATTACTAAGCATGGCACGGACTTTTCCTCTTGAGAGGCTTGTCTGTAGAGAGCAGGAGGAAATCCTGATGCTTCTCCTTTCTCCTTACTTAGGATCAAGCCCCATTGCACACCCCGCCAACCAGCACAGGGAGCAGCCTGCTGGGGTCTTACCACACTGCACTGCTCTCGGGTTAGCTCTCACACACGGTTCAATGGGGGCTGCGTTTGCTCGGGACCGGCTTTCCATCCTCCTGCGCCTCTCAGCACTAGCTTCTGCGGCATTTTCTTGCAGTGATCTAGGCCCAAGTTTTCCCATAGGGATGGACCGGAGTTCCCATGAAGGCTGTGTCGAGACTCACCGATTAGCACTTCAATGCTGTGGAGAGTTGTAGTTATACAAATCAAAGGCCACGGTTATCCTGAGCTACTGTTAGGACCCTCTGCTGCCCTCCTTTGTGTGACTTAGCATGCTTTGGGTGTAGGGTAATACCTTTTGTATTAAAGCAGCCCCGGAATTTCACCAACACAGATGCTAAGGATGCCATCAGCATCTAACCCCAAGTGAGATTACACCACTGTGCACTAACCTACTTACCTGACAACCCCACCACATCTGTTGACTTGCAACTGGACTCTGTTCTGTGACTATAAAAGTGACCACTTCTGTAATGGCTTATGCCACTCTGTGTAATCGGAATTCATGTTTCTGGGCGTGTTCACTCACGTTTGGCTCAGAACAAACTTTCATACTGTCTTTGTGACAAGAGCTGTTTTACTTCCACCCAAACAAGCAAGTCCACACAACACAATGGCACATATGTGTCTTCATAAAGATAAGGCCAATTTGAATGCTTGCCACTATGGTTTGCTTAAGAAAGAAATCAACTGCCAAAGTTTACACAGCAGTGTGTGTGTGTGTGTGTGTGTGTGTGTGTGTGTACAGCAGTGTGTGTGTGAAACCTCAGATAGCCTTTGTCATTTTAGTTCGCAGAAATAGAAATAGTGCAAACTCCGCAATTAATTGGTTTATAAATCCTGTGACAATATTCTAATCTTCTCTGAAGCCTGAAAATTATAGTTCTTTACTCAGAAAATTTATCTACTGTGCATTCAAATAAAAAGATACTTAACTCCATAAAGATAAAAATCTTAACTACATCATTCAGAAAAGTACATAATACATTGTCATCACTAGACCATGCCTCCAAGTCTGCCAAATTATATAAAAAATGTACTTAGCATACATAAAATATCCATTCTCTCATCAAAGGTACAAACTAATATAAAAATGTTTGACATTTACACACTGGAAGGTCCACTGGAAAGCCTGTCATAGGACAATTTGAAATCAGAAATCTCAATGGCAGAAATATAAACAATTTTAAAGTAATGTATACATAATTTATTTAATTTGAAAATATGGGACTTTATAAGGTTGAATACAGAATAATATCTTGGAAGGCTTTGGACTAAAGAAGAAAAACTACAAGTACCTCATGACTCCAAAGGTTCTGTGGCCCTGACAGAGTCATCTTCCACATACTAAAGCAAGAGAATGCATAGTAAAAGTCACAGTTCTAAAACTTATGAAATTTTTCCCTCTAGTTACCAGCTTTCCAGTGTTTGGGGCCACCAACTTCTCCTTTCAGAATACCCCCCACACACACTCACACACTGACACACACACTCACATTCTCCTGAGCGTCTTGGATGTACTCAGCACACACTGACACACACACTCACACACTGACACACACACACACACTGACACACACTGACACACACACTCACATTCTCCTGAGCGTCTTGGATGTACTCAGCACACACTGACACACACATGCACACACATGCACACACTGACACACACACACTGACACACACTCACACTCCCGAGCATCTTGGATGTACTCAGCACACACTGACACACACACTGACACACACACTCACACTCCCCTGAGCGTCTTGGATGTACTCAGCACACACTGACACACACACACACTCACACACTGACACACACACTCACATTCCCCTGAGCGTCTTAGATGTACACAGCACACACTGACACACACACACACTCACACACAGACACACACTCACACTCCCGAGCGTCTTGGATGTACTCAGCACACACACACACACACTGACACACACTCACATACACACTCACACACTGACACACACTCACACTCCCCTGAGCGTCTTGGATGTACTCAGCACACACTGACACACACACACTGACACACACTGACACACACACTCACACTCCCGAGCGTCTTGGATGTTCTCAGCCACCGAATGCAGGGTTGCCGTCTTTCTTGTCTGACATCTTCCCTCCATATGAGACCCATAGCAGGATGTTGATAAAAACACTTCAGCAACAGTCTAATCTAAAGTGGCTGACACAGGGCTAAGGGACAGATAATGAGTGTCGGTGAGGAAGGGCTGCAATTATAGGTACTACTTCCTCAAAGAAGATTAAATGTTTGGGGGGGGGTTGCAGAACCCAGGTCCCTGGCACATCAACTACTCTACCACTAAAGGACACCCCACCCTTCAATGCCAGATTTAGGATACCCATCCTTCCATATCAGATTAAGATAAAATTTGACAATATTCTAGCTAATTTGTTCCTGTTTTGATATCACAAGCCGAGTATAGGAGTGCGCGCCTCTAATCCCACCACTCAGGAGGCAGAAGCAGGCGGATCTCTGTGAGTTTGGGGCCAGCCTGGTCTACAGAGTGAGTTCCAGGACAGCCAGGCTACACAGAAGAACCTCGTCTCAAAAACATAAATAAAAATTTAAAAAATGGTATCACACAAACTTGTGTTTCAGACATTAGAATATGTAAATGGATTATACTCTTAAAATGAAAATCTTGATTTCAATGAAAACTTACAAACCTATGTAAAACTGAGCTGAGCCAAATTAGGCAAAGATTTTTTTTTGTTTTTTTTTTTTGTTTTGTTTTTACAAGACAGGGTTTCTCTGTTTTGGAGGCTGTCGGTCCAGCCTGGCCTTGAACTCACAGAGATCCGCCTGCCTCTGCCTCCTGAGTGCTGGGATTAAAGGCGTGCGCCACCACCGTCCGGCTAGGCAAAGATTCTTAAAAGTGACAGAGGTATTTATTCACAACCACAGCTGTGCAGTGCTGGGCACAGAGGAAACAGAATCATCAGAAAAGCCCAGCAATGAGGGGTTAAAACATGACTGTGAGTTTTATAATGTCCAATAACCTGAGGTAAGAGGATTTAATTAATCCTGGCAACATACAACTGTGCATGTACAGCTCTACCCAATATCCTCAGGTCCAATAGCCTTTGCGAGATCCATGTTAAAGCAACATTTTCAACCTTCCTAATGCTGCGACCCTTTAACACAGTTCCTCATGTTGTGATGACCCCCAACCATTAAATTATTTTGCTGCTGCTTCATAACTGTAATCTTGCTACTGTTATGAATCAGAATGTAAATACTGATACGTGGCATTGTTCAAACCACCAAAGTGGTTGTGACACTCCCCGAGAACCGCTGTGCTGACGGGTTTCTAAGAGTTAATCATATCATTTTCACAACAGCTAGGGATTTGATTCTCTGTCGGGACAGGAAGAAGGAACATGCTCCTCACTGTGAAGGTAAGCTTCTCTCCGCTCCCGTTTTGCTGTCTCCATCTTGAGAGCCTGTGCAGACGACAATGTAGGATGTGTGCAGGGGTGTGTAGGGGTAATGTGTGTGTGCATGTAGAGGCAGGAAGTCGCCCTCAGGCCTTCCTCAAGCACTCTCCACCTGAGTCTTTTGAGGCAGAGTCTCTCACTGACCCTGGAGCTCAGTTTCAGCAAGACTACTTTGTCAGTGAGGGGCTCAAGGGATCCTCCTGCCTCTGTTCCCCAGGTCCCAGGGCTAACCTGTGCTGAGGATGCCTAGCTTTGTCGTTGTTGTTATTTTATGTAGGTCCTGGGAGAGGAACTCGGGTCCTACGCTGTGTGGCAGGCACTTTATTGACTGAGCTCCTCTCAGCCACTGGGGATGGATATTGTTGATGCAACTTGAGCTGCAGACGGAGCATTTGGTAAGGTATGCGTGGACTTCCAGGTTATTAACATGTTTCATATAAAAACAGTATCCAGTTCATGGTCCTGAGCTCTGCATTCTAGCCACTGCCCCATGAAAGTAGAGTAAGTCGGCTGCCATGATCATACCTGAGTGTCGTACCTGAGTGTCGCTGCATGTAAAACAGGGGTAAGAATTTCATTTTCAGAGATCCTGCCTGCCTCTGCCTCCTGTGTGCGGGGACTAGGTGTATGCCACCAGGCCCAGCCAAGAATGCTTGTGCCACAACTGTCATAGGAATATTTCCAAGATAAAGTAAAACACTAGAAAACTCTTTAATTTTTATCTAAACACAAAAGATATGTTATGTGTGGTACAATTTACACTGAGCCCACTCTGATCTATGCTCAATGTAGGTGCTCCTACAACATCACAGGTTGAGTATTTAGACTGATTTTATTTTAAAAA